TATATATATATATATATATATATATATATATATATATATATATATATTACATACATACATATATACATACATGTGAACATAAACCTATAAACAACAATGGCAATGGAATTGAGGTGATGTGCAAGTGGTGGTGATAGTGCAAACAGAGGTAGTGCAGTATAACATATTTATTGTTCATCAGAGTGACGGTCAGTGGAAAGAAGCTGTTCCTGTGTCTGGTGGTTTTGGCGTACAGAGCTCTGTAGTGCCTACCAGAGGGGAGGAGATGGAACAGCTTGTGTCCAGGGTGTGATGGGTCTGCAGTGATCTTTCCAGCCCGTTTCCTGACTCTGGAGGTGAACATGTCCAGGATGGGGGGCTGGCTGGCATCAATGATCATCTCTGCAGACCTGACAGTCCGTTGCAGTCTGTTCCTGTCCTGTTTGGTGGTCGATCCAAACCACACAGTGATGGAGGAGCAGAGAACAGACTGGATGATGGTGGAGTAGAACAGGATCAGCAGCTCCTGAGGCAGGTTGAACTTCCTGAGCTGGAGCAGGAAGTACAACCTCTACTGTGCCATTTTCCTGATGGTGTTGATGTTGGAGGCCCACTTCAGGTCCTGGGAGATTGCGGATCCCAGAAACCTGAAGGTCTCCACAGCAGACACAGTGCTGTTGAGTATGGTGAGGGGGGGCAGTGTTGGGGGGCTCCTCCTGAAGTCCACTGTCATCTCCACAGTTTTCAGCCTGTTAAGCTCCAGGTTGTTCTGATCACACCAGAGGACCAGCTGTTCAACCTCCCGTCTGTACGCAGACTCATCACCGTCCCTGATGAGGCCGATGACCATTGTGTCGTCTGCGAACTTCAGGAGTTTAACAGACGAGTCCTCTGAGGTGCAGTCGTTGGCGTAGAGAGAGAAGAGCAGTGGGGAGAGACCACATCCCTGGGGGTCCAGTGCTGATAGTCCGGGTGCTGGATGTGGTGTTTCCCAGCCTCACCTGCTGCGTCCTGTCAGTCAGGAAGTTAGTGATCCACTGACAGGTGGAGGCTGCACAGTGAGCTGGGAGAGTTTGGGTTGAAGTATCTCTGGGATGATGGTGTTGAACGCTGAGCTGAAGTCCACAAACAGAACCCTTGCGTATGTCCCTGGGGAGTCGAGGTGTTGCAGCATGTAGTGCAGTCCCATGTTGACTGCATCATCCACCGACCTGTTTACACGGTAGGCAAACTGCAGGGGGTCCAGCAGGGGTCCTGTGATGTCCTTCAGATGGGTCAACACCAGTTTCTCAAAGGATTTCATGACCATAGATGTCAGGGCGACGGGCCTGTAGTCATTTAATCCTGTGATGGAGGATTTCTTGGGGACCGGGATGATCATGGAGCGTTTGAAGCAGGAGGGGATTTCACACAGCTCCAGTGATCGGTTGAAGATCTGTGTGAAGATGGGGGCCAGCTGGTCAGCAGACTTTCAGGCACGAGGGGGACACACCGTCTGGGCCCGGTGCCTTTCTGATCTTCTGTCTGTGAAAGAGCTGACTCATGCTACATCCACACTACTCCGTTTCTATTTGGAAGCAGATTTTTCAAATAGAAACGATCTCCGTCCACACAGGCGTTTCGGCATCATTTTCGAATTGATCTGCATCCACATGGCAGCCTTCGAAGATGGACAGCAGTGACCATTAACGTACACTGGGCATGCGCGTGACGGTGTAAACAGGAAGTGGATTGGTTGCTTAGTTTAAAAAAATACGACAGAGTAATAAAGTAGTCTTTAATAATGAAAGGTTGTATTTGATACTTAAGATCTTCCTCTAAAATATTCCTCTATAAACTCAAACAGACACAGTTCGTGGAAAGTTTTAGAAGTTTTATTTTTCAGACTTAGTTACAGCACTGCGGGTCTTTCTCTCTTGCTCTCTCTCACATCAAATTTACTTTAACATCAACACTTACACACAAAGGTTTACTAGATTATGGTCCATAAATGTGGTCAACACACGTCTCTCACTCTATTCTGCTCCTGCTTCGTGCAGGAAAGCTTAGCAGATCGCTAACAGTAGATCCGTGAAATAAAGACCATGGAATCTGTAGAAGAGTTTCAGGACTTTAGTGTGAATCTTTCTTATTTGTAAAACTGTGGAAACACAATATGAAATATGGCTTTACAAACTGTCCATATACACATACATGAATACAAAACAACAGTCCAGCTTATATGTAAGAGCCATTTTGTTGTTTTTGTTTTGTACAACCTCCCACCACATGGGGGCGTAGTGACGGTGTGAATCAGGCCCCAGGTAATATAATCAGTGGGGTCATTGGACACAGGTTGTTGCTAATAGGTAGAAGCAAACAGTTTTTGACCGTGCAGATTTAACGAATGCAAATGTTATGATTTATTGGTATGAGGAGAAAATGGATAACTGAAGACAAAGTGGTGAACTCTGATTATGTGAGGAATAAAATGCCTATATTCGAAACTGGACTTTGTTATTTATGGCACGCGTCAGAACAAGCATTACAGCAACCGTAGTGACTTTTTTATTGGGAAGCAATGGTCACTACAATATAGCCATCATGTAAACATGTCCGACTAGCTTGCTTCTAAGCTAATTTTAACATTACCGCCAATGGAGAAATGCTAACCGCGATTAGCATTTAATACAACACAAATGGTATACTAAAAGAGCGAATAGAATATATCTACGTACATCTTTTCATGCTTCACAAAGAAATACTTACAAACTAAGGTCTCTCAAGGCTACCAAACGGAAGAAGTAAAACGTTAGTGCAGCGTGTCTTCTCATTAGAATCTAAAAACAACGAGGCACTAACTACGGCAAGAGAGGAGGGATAAATACGAGCATGAAAATGCAATGACATTCTACCACACAGAAATGTGCGGGCAGAACGAACACGTTTCCTCGGTGTTGTCTGTTCTCACTCGTAGCTTTGAATAGCATTTACCGCTAACTGTGGCTTCAGACGGCCGCTCCATAGGGCTGATGATGCCGCTGGTCACGCCGCTCGCTAATCGCTCCAATAACAGCTGCTTCCTCCACAGAAATGCAGACTTTTACTGCACAACAGCTGCTAGTACAGCCACAAAGCAAGCAAGCAAAGCCAGTTTGTTTTCTTCCGGGTACGGGTCACGTGATAGTGAGTGTGACGAATCAGGGAAGGATACGTCATGGCTGCTAAGAACCAATCAAGTAGCGAACACGGGTCTGGGCGTCATTTTTGCTAAACACATCCGTTTCCGGCCCTCCACACGCAAACGCAACCCCAGAGTTTTCAAACTCCTCCAACCTCGGGAGTGTTTTCAAACTCCTTCGCTTAGGGTGCTCCAAAACTCCGGCGTAGTGTGGCTGCTCAGTGTAAACGTAGCAAAACATATGTTTCCAAACGTAAACAGAGTAGTGTGGACATGGCCTCATCGCATCCTCCTCGCAGAACCTCAGTGCCGGTGGGGGGTCGGTTGAGAGAGGTGAGAAGGAGGCAGGCAGTGTAGATGTTTTGTTTGATGGTGGGGGGTGTGAGAGTGGGCTTATCAAACCTGCAGTAGAAGACATTCAGGTCGTCAGCCAGTTGGTGATTGTCCTCAGTGGGGGGGGGATGGTCTCCTGTAGTTGATGAGTACATCCAGGCCTCTCCAAACTGACGAGGGGTCGTTGGCTGAAAACGTTTTTTCCAGTTTTTCAGTGTAGCTCCTCTTAGCTACCCTGATCTCCCTCGTCAGTGTGTTCCTGGTCTGGTTGTACAGGATCCTGTCCCCACTTCTGTAGGCCTCCTCCTTGGCCCGACGAAGGTGCCTGAGTCTTGCAGTAAACCAGGTTTATTGTTGTTATATGTGCAGATGGTTTTAGTCGGCACACACATGTCCTCACAAAGACTGAAGTATGATGTCACAGTGTGAGTGAACTCATCCAGGTCTGTAGCAGCAGCCTCACAAACACTCCAATCAGTGCAGACAAAGCAGGACTGTAGCTCCAGCTTTGCCTCGTTAGTCCATCTCCTCACAGTCTTCACCACAGGCTTTGCAGATTTTAATTTCTGCCTGTAGGTCGGGAGAAGATGAACCAGACAGTGATCAGAGAGTCCCAGAGCTGCACGAGTGACAGAGTGATATGCATCCTTTATACAGTGGAGCAGTGGTCCAGTGTGTTTTTGTCCCTGGTGCTACACTTAATATGTTGTCTGTATTTTGGCAGTTCTTTGCTGAGGTTTGCTCTGTTGAAGTCCCCAAGAACAATGAGCAGGGAGTCTGGGTGTTTGTGCTCCGTGTTGTTGATCTGCTCAGCGAGGTGTTGAGGACCTCACTCACACAGGCCTGAGGATGTAAACACCGACCAGAATGAACGAGGAAAACACCCGCGGTGAATAAAATGGTTTACAGTCTATGAAAAGTGTTTCCAGGTGAGGGCTGCATGATTCCTTTAACACTGTGACATCTGTACACCAACCTTCATTAATGTAGAAGCAGATTCCGCCTCCCCTCGTTTTTCCCGACAGAGCCGTTACGCGGTCCGCTCGGAGGAGTTGGAAGCCCGGCAGATGTAGTGCGCTGTCCGGGATGTGCTCACCGAGCCAGGTTTCAGTGAAGCACAGGGCGGCGGATCTGCTAAAGTCCGTGTTTAGTTTGTTGAGGAGCAGCAGCTCATCCATCTTGTTGGCCAGAGAGCGGACATTCGCCAGGTGAATTGACGGGAGCGTAGTTCTGAATCCCCGTCGACGCAGATTAACGAGCGCTCCTGCTCGCTTCCCTCGTCGCCATCTCCGATAAATTCCGAGTAGCGCTGCTGCTCCCCCAACTAAAATCGGATGATTCTTCCACAAGAGAAGTGGACCTAAAACCGAAACCTTTGACAGAGAACGTGTGACAGAACGATTGCTGTTGGTTGCCACGATGACTAGTTCCTTGAGGTTAAAGGTTTTTATGAAACATCAAAGTCTCAGAGAAGATTTAAACTGTTTGTTTCTTTCTTTCAGAGTTTCATCTCTCTGATGGACATCTTAAGCAGGACGACCTAGACCAACTGCAGGACCCTCTGCCCAGCACTTCCTCCAGACCAGACAGTGTTTCTGAACCAGACCGCCAACCGGACTCTCCGGACTATCTGGCCGGCAAGGAGGAAGAGGACGAGAGTGACGAAGAGGCGCCCCCTCACTGCTGCAGAGTGTGCGGGAAGTCATTCAACAGAAAAGGCTTTTTGATGAAACACGTGGAGAAACACTTGAAGGAGGCGGAGTGTGTTTGCGGTCTGTGTGGGGAGCGTTCGGAGTCCACCGACGGTCTGAGGCTGCACCTCCAAACGCACCGCGACAGCAGCAGGACCTGCCACTTCTGCAGCAAGAAGTTCCCCTCCATCCGCGCACAGGAGACGCACCTGAGGCTGCACACCGGAGAGAAACCATTTAGCTGCCACATCTGCGGAAAAGGCTTCAACCAGAAGGGTAACATGGTGACACACATGAGGATCCACACAGCGGAGAAGCCGTTCAGGTGCACTTTGTGTCACAAAGAGTTCAGCCACACCGGCTCTCTGGAGCGACACATGAAGGTCCACGACGGACAGACACCGTTCAGCTGCAAAGTCTGCGGCAAAAGCTTCAACAAGAGTGCTGAGCTGAGGCAACACGTACGGAGCCACGAGTCCACCGAAGCGCCCGCCGCCAGGAGCAGACGCAGGAAACCGAGTCTGACTCCTTCTCACTGCTGCAAGGTCTGCGGGAACGCCTTTCACAATAAAGGTAACTTTGTGCGGCACGCAGAGACTCATTTAAACGATCCCGAATGTCGTTGTGGCGTCTGTGGAGAGCAGTCAGAGTCCTCAGAGAGTCTGCAGATTCACATCCAGAGCCATAGAGAAACCAACAGGATGTGTGACATCTGCGGGATCAGCTTCAGGGACATGGAGATCCACATGAGGACACACACCGGCCAGAAACCCTTCAGCTGCAAAGACTGCGGAAAAGACTTCCCCAGGAAGGGCTCTCTGGAGAGACACATGAAGCTGCACGCCGGCGAGAGGCCGTACATCTGCGAGTTCTGCGGGAAGACTTTCATTGAAAACACCGTCCTGAAGAGACACATCAAGAGCCACACGGGAGGGAAGCCCAGGATTTACTCCTGTGACATCTGCAGCAAAACATTCACCATGAGCCAGCATCTGGACGTGCACAAGAGGATCCACACTGGGGAAAAACCGTACACCTGCAGGGTCTGCGGGAAGAACTTCCGGCAGATCGGCAACCTGGACTCCCACATGAGGATCCACACTGGCGAGAAGGCGTTCATCTGCAGCCTCTGCGGGAAGAGGTTTCGCCAGAAGATTTCTCTGGAGACGCACGAGAGGTTCCACAAGAAGGAGAAACCGTTCAGCTGCCAGCTGTGCAGCAAAGGCTTTGTCCAGAAGATCGACCTGAAGAGACACATGCTGACGCACACGGGTGAGAAACCCTACAGCTGTAGCGTCTGTGGGAAGAGCTACCAGGAGAAACGCTCGGTGGTCTCTCACATGAAGATCCACGCCGGAGAACGAGCCGTAAGGGTCTCCGAGGGGACGCCGAACCTGAACCGCCAGGAAGGAGTTCACACCAACTTCATCCAGCTGTGACCTCCGTCCAGCTGCATGTATACACACATACATATATACTAGATTAAAATATATCTAAGTTTAAACCTCTTCAATCAATATTTACTGTTTTCAAGAATACAATAATTCAACACGATGTCATGTGACTCTGAGGACGTTTGAATAATTTCACATGTAAATAAAACATCTGGAGAGAAGACAGTATCAGTATTCAATATGTCAATATGTCAATATAACAGCTGGTTCATAACGTTTATTTTGTGGTTTATGAATAAAGTTTTATTCTGTCTGTTAATGTGAAGACTTTTAAATTGAAGCTGAGTCAGGATTTCTTCTTTCAGTTACCCAATATTCAAAGTAAACATTTATTATTAGATTATATATAATTTATAATTAATACAGTTCAATTTGATAATAAATATTGTTGAGATATTATTCAATATAACTTCATTTATTTGAATTGACAGTCAGTTGTTGACATACAGACGTTAAGGCTGTTGGCTAATTCAATAATAGTTGGAATGCTTTTAAGCATTCCAACTATTATTATCCTGTTTCTTTATTCCACTTTTTATTATATTTCTTCCGTCCCCTTCATTTTTTAAGCTACAGAAACCATTCAACTATCAAAATCTTTAATGACATTTATGCTATGACTTTTCATAGTTGTATCTCTTATGCTTTTTGAATTATTAAGCTTTTTGCAATTTTTCCTTTGAATGGGATTTCAATGGAGAATATTTTCAAATCCTCTTAAACTTTTTCAACTTTCAAATCCTTCTACTTCCTCATACTTTCAGCTACAGACACCATTTCAACATTAAAATGTTGAGAAAACCCTGATCTATTGCCACATTATTCAGCTTTTTGATATCTTTTACACTTTTTGAACTGCAGCAATGTAACTTTTTTTGATTTTTTTCAGTCCTTTTCTGACTTTATAATGGGTGTGTATTGCGCAGCTTAGAGTGCGTGATGTCATCGCTAGAGTGAAGAGCAGCTTCAGAATCTTATGAAGAAAATATTTGTCTTTTTCCACTGACTCCACAATCTTCACTCTTGATGAATAATTTCTGGATGTAAAAGTAGCTAATCTTGTCCTTGTCGTAGACAAATGACTGTGGAATCCCACCGACTTACACATTTGGCTCAAGGAGCTGCAGAGCGACATGAACTCCAACCAACTGCTCCATTAGACTCAATGTTAAATCTGACCACTCATTTCTCAAAGAAAGCAGACGGTACCAGTTTTGTATATTGCGCTGGAGCTCACATTTTTAACACCACAAACATAAAAAACACATCTCCGCGTTTGCCAGAGTCTTATCTCTCTCACGGTATCCATATTTTATTGATTAGTGTCATGGTTTTGGTATAAAGGGCATATGTTTGACAGGTAGTTTTGTTGAAAATCACTGTTCACTCTAATCTCTCTTAACTAGCCTCTAACACACAGGTGCTCCAATCACCAACATGCACCCAAGCACCCAGGTGTTTATATGAGCTCATTAGTGATGTTGATAAACACACAGAGGCACTGAGACACACATACACACACATGATTTAGAGATATACGTGATGCAGCTCAGCCAATCAAATATGGGTATTCTGATAAGTTTCCTGATTCGAGTGACATTTACACACACCGCGACACAAGAGAGAGAGACGAGGAAAGACATGGCAGAGCAGGACAATAGTCATGTAAGCTGTAAATGATAAAACAGGACAATCTCCAAATGAGAAAGTTTGCCAGAGAGATCTCTCTCTCTCATAGTCATTCAGGTCTTAGTGATTTTAAGAGGACTTTCCCCCCCACCCCATTTCAAAATATAAGCCCCAAAGAGTGAATTCTAACTGAAATGCTTGTGATGAAGCCTGTCATTTAATAACCTCTGTTTATGTGTGTCAAACATTAAGATTATGTCTCCTCTTCCCCTCTCTCCCCCACCCAGTCCCACCCTTTCAAAATAAAAGCCTCATGGATTAACTGTATTTAAACGTTAAGCTCAAAATTTGGCTTTTTTTGTTGAAATGATGAATGCTCTTGCTAATACTGCGACAACTACTACTACTGCTGCTAATATTTCTAGTATTACTACTACTACTACTGCTACTACTACTACTACTACTTTTAATGTTGCTACTATTACTACTGCTACTGCTATTACTGCTACCATCAATATTATTACTACCACTACTGCTATTACTACCACTACTACTATTACTTATACTACAACTGCTACTACTACTACTGCTATTCCTGCTACTACCAGTAGCAGGAATAGTTCAACTATTTCTTCCGTCCCCCTTTTTTTGAAACTCTTCTGCTACTTCATATTTTAAGCTACAGAAACCATTCAACTACTAAAATGTTCAGCTCTTTAAGGACATTAAATGCTATGACTTTTCTATTTAAAATTTCTAACCTTTAAAGTTTTTGAATTATTAAACTTTTTGCAACTTGTTTTTGAAAGGGATGTCTACGGAGAAAATTTACAAATCCTCTTAAACTTTTTCAACTTTCAAATCCTTCTACCTCCTCATACTTTCAGCTACAGGCACCATTTCAACTTTAAATGTATGTATATGTATACGTATGTATATGTATACATGTATACGTGTGTATATGTATACATATGTATATGTGTATATGTATACGCAGTGGTGTATAGTAACGAAGTAGAAATACTTCGTTACTGTACTTAAGTCATTTTTTTTTGGAT